TATAGTACTACACACACACACACACACACACACACACACACACACACGATAAACTGGTTCTTTCTCTATTATGTGAATTAGCAGTTAGTCAGCTAAAAGTAACTAAGCCAGCTCTATTTCCGTACTATAGTTTGCATCTAATTAAGGAACTATAGTTAATGCTATTTTAGTTCCAAATTAAGATTCATAACAGACAATCACTGAATAGCTTGATAAACATCTAAATCTGTCCTTTGTTTCTCCTCATGTAAGTAAGGCTGTCTTGCTAGTGGACTTAAACCAGGGACATTAAGAAGGAGGTCTCAAAAAATTACTTTTTCTCTTTTTTAAAAAGTCAGCTAATAGATAATATATGTGCTATATAACATGTAACATTCTGTTGAAGCTATCTTGAATTTCAGGTAGAATCTTGCAATGCTGAAATGAATATTTAAATATAAATGTACAGAATAAATTTCCTCCATTGAATATTCTAAAAAAAAAGTCCTTAACTAATACCACAAATGGTCCTCATGTCCTATATGAATATATTTCATAATTAAGGAAACATTTTTATCCTACATAAAAGTTATGCACAGTGGCATGGGCTAAATGTTGGTCCATTTCAGTTAGTTTTTCAGAATGACTACTAAAATATTTGAAAAGCCCCAATTTTGGGGGCCATTTAACCTTTTTACAACTAATTAATAGACCAAGGGTGGCCAAACTGTGGCTCGTGAGCTACATGCGGCTCTTTTTCCATTAAAGTGAGGCTTGCGGAGCCCCCCATGCCGCCCCCCCCCCCATTCTCCATCTACCAGACTCGGAGGGCGGGGGGGGGGGGGAGGGAGCTTGGGACCTCTGCCTTGCAGCGAGGTGGTGGGGTAGGACCTTCTGCCCAGCGGGGAGTGGGGTCACAGAGCTTCAGCCCTGCGGGGTGCTCCTTCTGGGGCTCAGGGTTTCAGCAGGGGCAGGGCTGAAGCCCAGAGTCCTGTCAGCTGCCTGTCGCAGAGCTGAAGTCCCAAGCCCTGGAGCCCGGCAGATGTGCTCCAGCTCTCGGACTTCTGAAGATTGTCGCATGTGGCTTGGAGGACCAGTAAGTTTGGCCACCCCTGTAACAGACTGTGACTTTTGTTCATCAGGAAAAGTATTTTAATTCATTACACCATTCCCTCCCGCTCCTTTAGATTAGATATCATGTCTATAATAGCATTTGTGCATACCATCTTCATCTGTTTGAATAATGGTCTCCTCACTCTCCTTTCTCCCTTCAGGATTAGTTAGGATCATTTTGAGGCTGACATTTGTGTAAGGAGGCAGATGATCCACCACATGCTGGGGTGCTTTGGGGTCCATATCCAAGCAGTCTGCTTTGTTCTCATTGTGACCACGGAAGTAGTGGTAGCAAATAGTTACATTGAAAGTGTGACATCGAGTAATATTGTAACCCAGAGACTCCCAATCCACTGCAATGTGTCTGGCCTGAATCTCAGCAATCTTCAGAGTTTTTGGTGTTCTCATGGGCTCTAGAAGACACAGAATATAATGAAGTAACACTGTTAACATTTCCCACATTGACTTGTTAAGTGATACACTTAGAAATGTCAAAACACCGGAGATACCCAGCAAGTACAAACCCATCACTGGAAGAAGTGACATCCCTTGCAAGAAATATCCTGAGGTGAAATGCCACACATTTTCATTTCTTTCTGTTTTGTCTCTTCTCCATAGGTTTCAATCAGTGATTAAGATTTACCAACATTAAAAATAAAATGTTAATTAACAGTGCTAACAATTCAAAGCATTTAAGAATACAGAAGGCAAATTCAGGAAGAGTGACCAAAAGGCCACCACAGCTGTTGTTGCTAACTTCCCCCTATTTCCCCTTTATCGTTTTTTAAATGAGTAAATTAGATAATATATCATAGTGGTGAAGAGTCAACATGCTCTGCGGTATGATTTATCATGCCACCAAGCTATGCTGTATACTAATTACACTAATTGCTGTACTAAACTAGCAGTTACAAAAATGATGCAGATATTCATTAACGTTTATTATTTCGGTAATGATGCTATTAATTTGAGCAAGAAAGCCAAGGAATATTACAAAAACACTTTTGGATGTTTACATCATATTCTACCTCCTTTCACCACCCAATACACTTTGTCTGTGCATAGCTCTGAGCTAGTAATCAGTGCACCATCACTCAAGCTCAACTGTTATCTGCACATGAACTTCCACTCAGCTAGAAAGTAACAGCAGAACATGGGATACTTGGCTGGGTTGCCATCAATCTATCATTATCTCTCCAGCGAATTCATCCCTCATGCAAGACTAACTTTTATAGTCAAACTTAATTAAAATGATTACACAATGAAAGTCATGACCATGAATATATATACACTGGAGCTGCACTAGAAATTTACCAAGGGAATGTTTCTACACTCTTAATATATATTTGCTTGCCAAAGAAAATAAAGCAAGCTCTAGGGTACACTTTAACCTTGTATCTTTGCTGATTCAAGGTGAAAACAACAAGAGAATACACATACGTGAAACACGTATTCTTCTTTTTGGGGTGCGACTGTCCTGTGTAATTTTCCTTTATGAATCAAGAGTTTCAAGTAGGCAAATGTTCTGTAGAAAGCACAGGTGGCCTATCCAAATGTGTGTGAATCTCAAGGAATATACTCTATTCAGCATGCAGTTTACAAGACAACTGCAACCAAACTACTTAATTTTCTTTCTCTACACACACACAGTTATGGATTAAAAGTCACACATTAGTTTTCTTAATATTCACATTAACCCATCACCTCCCTCTCAAATCCACGATGAGCTTGAATTTAATTTTTCTCTTCCACCCTTGAGTTACTATCAAATTCATGGTAAAAGAAAAAAATTAGACTTCCTGGGTAGTAGCCTTCCGAACACATTGCCCAATGTGACAAAACTAACAGGATTGAGAGAAATCATTTAATGGGTGCATGGAGATAAGATGGATGATGAAGGGACATAAGCTTCCTTTGGAAAGTGAGCACTGGGTGTTACTTGTCTGCTCATCTATCCGAAAAATAGTAGTTATAATGAATGGCAGTAACTTGATAGTTCCTCGGGATACGTCTATACTATAAGCTCTGTGGAAGGGGTTTTTCCGTTGATGTAATAAAGGCACCCCCACAGAAGGCAGTCTATACTGGGGCTTAGGTCAGCTTAACTATGTCTTTTGGAGGTGGTGGTGGTGGTGGTGGTGGAGAATGAATTTTTCACACCCCTGAGCAACACAGCTAAATTAACCTAAACTTTAGGTGTAGACTAGACCTCAGAATGGGATGGTTCAGGATCAGTTTTTCCTTTAGTAAGTGTAGAAAATCCATTTTCCAATGTTTTAGGAGAATATAAAAAGGAAACAAAAAATACCAAGTCTTTTTAGACTTTTTTAGCCAGATATTTTAGACTTAGACAAGGTGGGTGAGATAATCTTATATTATACATCAACTTCTGTTGTTGAGAGAGACAAGCTTTTGAGTTTACAGGTGACCCGAAGAAGAGCTCCATGTAAGCTCAAAAGCTTGTCTCTCTCAACAGAAGTTGGTACAATAAAAGATATTACCTCACCCACCTTGTCTCTCTAATATCCTGGGACCCACATGGCTACCACAATATTGCATACAACCTTTAGACTTGGATTTTTAAGACAGACCATAACAGGAATAAACATCCCTATGCACTCTGATTGAGAATTTGAAATCTAAAGAAATAAGCGGAAGTCTGTATAATTAGACAAGTTTTGTTTTATATATTACTTTCTCTTCTAAAAATGATCCCACTGTTCTCAATTTTCTTTTTCTTTTTCCTATCCCAAGTGCACCCATCCTGCGCTATAAAACACACATTTCTAACCTGCTCCATGTATTAAATTAATTTAAAAAGAGCATATGCACATAATAACATAGGATAGTTGGTTCTGAAGATTCAAGCCTTGCATGTCTGAGAATCAAGCAGAGCCTTAGACCAACTGGTGATGGGAAATGCACTGAATTTTTATTTGGTTTCCTCCAAGTCTGAACTTTAATATGCATTCACACTATGTTACATAGGATTTTTGAAACAAAAAAAATATGCTTTGTTAATCTTGAAAAAAGTATTTTACAATTCTATGCAAATTTTACAAATGTGTGTCAGTATCAGAGGAGATATTAAAAAACATCCTTTATTCACCTGTCGAAAAAGGAGAAATAAGATAGCAAGCATGATCTAGCTTTCTCACAGGCACTCTTATCTTTGGCAGAGATTAACCAATTCTGCACGACTGAGATGGTAATTAAAGTCTACAGAGTCTCTCAACAGCTTTGGTAAATTCTGCCAACTGTCCCACTGCTGCTAAAATGATGCTTTAAACACAATTTTACTCTTGCCTCTGAAAAAACATTCACAACAGGGCTCTCTAGAGGTAAAGTCCAATTGTTTTAAACTGCTGCACCACAAATTCTCCATCTGTAAGGCCCTGGTAGAAAGTAATCTTCCAATAATTATTTTTCTCAGATAAAAAGCTATTGAATTGCTTAGTAAGCTTCAGGAAACTTGCTGCATCTCATTATGAAAAAAATATTTTAGATAAGAAGAGGAGGAAGCTCCCTCCCCCACCCACACTGCCATGACGTCCTTCAGAGCTTTACTTTCCCCCAAAACGTTATCTTAATTCTCCTGTAATTTCAATCCAATTGATCGTTATTTTCTCAGTTAAAGGTATCCTTTCAGGAACAGCAGTCCAAGCAAGCGTGTGGTGGGGTGTGTAGCAATTTATTAATCTCATCCCTTGGTAGTTGTAATTTCCCTCCCTTGAACTTTCCAATCACACTTAGAACTGCTTTGTCTAAAGAGTATGAATGTCACTCCAGAACTTGCTCCTCTGTTATATTAGGTTTACCAAAGTGGTATCCCCTGCTTAACGTGAATGGAATAAGACTCCTTCCAGAACATTCCCAATTTCTTAATCAATGAACTGAAACTAAAATAGTAACAATAATACACAGCTCAAAGCACTGTACAAACATTAATCTTCTCAACACCGGGCCCTCTCAGATAGGTAAATATTATCATTCCCATTTGACTAATGAGGAAACAGACACAGAGAAGTTAAGTGACTTACTCAAGACCACAAGGCAATTTATTGTCAGAGCCAGGAATAGTATTCAGATGTACCTGGCTCCCAGGGCTGGCTCTAGGATTTTGGCTGCCCCTGGCAGAGGTTCTTTAAGGCCCTGATTTAGCAAGGAAATTAAAGCATGTGCTTAAGAACCTTAGTTGAATCAGGGCCTACAATACTTATTTGTCAAGTACTGAATTTTGCAACCAAGATTTTCCTAACAAGGACCTGAACAAATCACAGTTAACAGACTGCCATTTTAGGTGACTTGTGAACTGTCAAGAATCAAAATGGGATTTTCAGCTGTGAAGGAGTAACTGTTTCTCAAGTATCTGGAAAATTATTTTTAACTTTGTACAAATTTGGTGTTCATTATACTGCTTTGCAAGCTCAAGCTGCTGTTTATGGTGTAAAGCTATAACAAGGGACAGTATTCAAGTTTTTTGTTTTTGAGTTTAAAATATACTTTAAATAAAGCAGTTAACTATTTGGGATTTTTGGCATTATATCTCGTTTTTTAACATTAAAACGTGGAGTTCTACTCAAAAGTCATTTCCTCAAAGAACTAAAACCATAAATTAAATGCATTTCTTACAGGGGACAACTCTTCATGTGGGGCAGTGGCAAAGGGCTCAAGTGGCTCATTAGATGCTGTATGAGGAGAGAAAATCATTTGGCATTTGAAAGATTTCCAAGATAACGGACAGGAAGGACAGTAAATCTGAGTGTTTTGATTAGCCAACGGCATACCCTCTTTGGTCATTATGGTGACAGGAGATGTGAAGGATTTCATTTTTATCTTTAAATCAGGGAGAACAGAGCGTATATGTGGTAGGGAACTGTTCCGTGAGGGGTTGAGGGAAGTTGGATTCAATACTAAATCTAGATTCAAACTGGGGGAGCAGTAGGTGCTCAGATATCATGGTGCCAGGGGCCATGTAATAGTTTAGACTAGACTAATCCTAGACAGATCAAACTTTTTTTTTTCTTTCATAAAAGGACAAAATACACCCTCTAATCACCATTGTCTCCTTCAATATCACCCCCCCTTTTCCACCACCCGTTCCTTCCCTAACTTACACTCTAACAACATAACATACATGACTTCTCAGCTACACTCAACCCCTATCTGCACACTCTCTCTTCCACCTCAAGGTCTGTCTTCAATTTTGGCTTAACTTCAATACATGCTGCTTCGTCTCCTCCTCTCATGCTGTTGAACATCTCTGGAGAAAGTTCCATGAACATGTGGACTTCCTCCACTACAAATTTATTCTGCCATCTTCCTGCTCAAGCAGCACTACTTTCTCCACTCTGATTCCCATGCTGGTAATGCCAGCTGTCTATTCACTGCTTTTGATGCCATCGTCAACCTC